ATACAGTTTGGGGGGAGAATTAAAAATGTGAAAAAAAACTCTGATGAATTGGAAGAGGAGTAAGGGTTCTAATGCTGTGAAGGTCATTAATCACTGTAAGGAGAACCTGAATAGACTGGAGATGTTGGGAGGAAATAGAGACTGGGAGAAATGGACTTTCTTTAGAAATAGATTGAATGAAGCTTACTCTCTTGAAGAGGAATATTGGAGGCAGAAATCTAGGGTAAGTTGGCTTAAGGAGGGGGATAGAAATACTAAGTTCTTTCAAGCTAGTGTTAAGCAGATAAGAACTAGTAATAGCTTGCAAAATTTAGTGAAAAGTGATGGGAGTAGATGTGTTAATAATCTTGATAATGTGGGTGAATTGTATAGATATTTTGATAGCTTATTCAAAACCTCTAATCCTCTGGTTGATAGATGTAATTTGGAAGGAATTCCTATGTCTATTTCTGATGAGATGAATAGATCTTTAACTAGAGAGGTTTTTTAGGATGAAATTAAGACTGCCCTATGGGAAATGGATCAACAATAAAGCTCCAGGTTATGATGGTATGTCCCCTGCCTTTTTCCAAAACTCTTGGCCCTCTATAAAAGATGAAATTTTCCTTGCTGTGAGAAACTTCTTTCAAAATGGGAAAATGTCCAGAAATATGAACCATACTGTGCTAACCCTAATTCCCAAAAAGAAAAATCTCCAATTTGTTTCTGATCACAGACCAATCATTTTATGCACTGTTGTTTATAGACTCATTGCTAAGATTCTTGCCAATAGACTCAAGTCTGTATTGCACTGCTGCATATCTCAATCCCAATCTGCCTTTATTCCAGGTAGGCAGATTATAGATAATGTAGTTATTGCAAATGAGTGTATTCATTTTCTTAATGGCAAAAGATTTGGCAAAGAAAAATATATGGTTATTAAACTTGATATGGCAAAAGCCTATGACAGAGTTGAATGGAATTTTCTTGCTAAAATGCTAAAAAAGATGGGTTTCTGTGATGTGTTTATTTCATGGATTCTTGCTTGTGTTTGCTCTTCTTCTTTTTCTTTCAATGTGCAAGGTTCAATCATGGGGTTTGTAGTTCCTACTAGGGGGTTAAGACAGGGAGACCCATTATCTCCCTATCTCTTTGTTTTGGTTTCTGAAGCTTTTTCCAACTTGATCAAGCAAGCTTGTAGTCTCAAAACTTTCTTTGGTGTGAAAATTGGTAAATATGCTCCAGTGATTTCCCACTTATAATTTTCTGATGATTCTATTGTGTTTTTTAAAGCTGACCTTCATCATGCTCATACTATTCTGCAAATTCTTAGAGATTATGGTGAGGCATCTGGCCAATTTGTTAATATTGATAAATCTTCCATTTTCTTTTCTAAGAATGCTTCTGTGGGTCTGCAAAATGATATCTGTGGTGTCTTGAATGGGATTTCTAGAGTGAAAACTTCAAAGTATCTGGGGTTACCTTTGGGCATTGGCAAATCTAAAAAAGAAACATTTAAATTTGTCACTGATTATGTTGTTAACAGAGTGCAGGGGTGGAAAAACTGCTTTTTAAGTGAGGTTGGGAGGGAAACTCTTGTTAGATCTATCTTAGAAGCTCTGCCAACTTATGTCATGTCTTTCTTTAGACTCCCCATATTTGTTTATCAGCATATTTGTAGGGTGATATCCAATTTTTGGTGGGGAATTTCTGAGACTAGGGGTAATAGGGCTCATTGGTGTGGGTGGGATTTGTTATCAAAGCCTAAGGATATGGGAGGGATGGGATTTAGAAATTTTCAGGTTTTTAATGACACTCTTATAATTAAACAGTTATGGAGGATCATTACTAAACCCAATCTTTTGGTGAGTAGGGTCCTTAAGGGCAAATATTTTTATAATCAAAAAATCTTTGATGTGAAACCTAAGGGTGGTGACTCCTGGCTTTGGAAGAGCTGGCTTCAAGCCAGACCTTCCTTAAAGTTGGGAGTTAGGTACCAGGTTGGTAATGGATGCTCCATTGATGTTTGGGACTCCCCTTGGATTCCTTATCCAAATCTTTTTTCCCCTACCCTTCATTTTCCCACAGACAGAGTGAGAATAAAAAAAGTGAGTGACTTATTTGTGCATAGTAAGTGTGAGTGGGATGTAGAGCTGGTTCAACAAACATTCTCTCCTGAGGAGGCTGCACATATTCTCTCTATCCTAATTAGTAGTGCAGGTGCCCATGACAGGCTGGTGTGGCATTGGAATCCTAAAGGCCTTTCTGTAGTGAAGAAAGTATACAAGCTCATGCTCCAACACCACTACAACAACCAGATGGCTGCAACCTCCTCATCAGATGACAGAATGATGCAGAAAATGTGGGCCAGGACATGGAAGCTCAAGGTGAAACCTAAAGTTAAAAACTTCCTTTGGAGATGCTGGTATGGATTTCTAAACACAAATGCACAATTGTTGAAAAAAAAAGGTGAATATGGACAGTATATGTTGTATCTGTGGAGAAGTAAATGAAGATTTGGAGCATATTTTATTCAAATGTCAAAGAGCTGTGAACTGTTGGAAGCTGTGTGGATTGCATTAGATACATTTTGACAGGGACAGGATATCTTTTCAAGATTGGTGGTATGATTTGTATTCTGGTTCAGCTGATAATTAAATGCAAGACAAAATGAGCCTCTCAACCTACCTGCTGTGGTGGTTGTGGAGGACTAGAAATTCCTGGCTGTTTTCTAAATCCAAATTCACTGAAAGAGACATAGTGGATGGTGCTTGGAGGGAATGGACTGAATTTGAGCTCTCATCTTTAAGAACTGGAACTAGCATTGATAAAGGCAACAACTTGGTAGCTGATCTTAGGGCTTCACAAGCTAATGGAAGAGGAGTAGGACAGAGTATGATTTCTGTCAGTGCTTGCTTGTTTCCAAATGGTTTTGTGGGGTTTGGTGCTGTGGTGGAAATGGATGGGCAAGTTCTGTTCAAGTGGCATGACTGCTGTGAGAAAGCTCAATCTCCTGAGGAAGCAACTCTTAGAGCTGTTAGATGGATGCTGCACAAAATTCAACAAACAGGGACATTTACTTCTCTATGCTGCAGGGTGGATTCAATACCTGTTGCTCAGCTCATTAACAAGCAGATAGAGGCAGATTGAGGAGTAAGAGTCCTTGTTACTTATATTAATCTAATGGCTGAGAGATTTGATAGCTGTCATTTCTTTTGTGATAAGTTTGCTTGTTCTTTTTCTTTGTCTTTGGCTATAGAAGCCTTTCAGAGAGTCTAAGTTGGGTTTCTCGTAGCTTGTAGTGATCTCATTTGTATGGGGTGTTGTATTGCTTGTATCCATTTGGATAGTCGATGTATGAACTTATCCTTTGAGTTTTAATATATTGCTTGTTTGTTGTTAGAAAAAAAAAAAAAGTAAGATCCTAAAAATTTCTCATAAAAGTGGGGCATGGCGTTTGTGTTGTGCAAACACCGGCATTTTATTGATGTTAACGGAGGTAATTGCACTTTTTAATATTTTTAAATTAAAACTTACATTTTGTAAAATATTTATAAATAAAAATACTAACTTTTCACGTGTTTTTATTATTAAAAATGTACGCGGAACTGACTAGTTAATTAATTAGTTTCACATTTCATAGAAGAATTATTTTATATATCTTTATTTAATTACAACTAAACAAATTTATCAATAATAATAATAATAATAGGAAATGCTACAGTCTCGTTACAGAATCATTTCGCCGAAATTTGTAATCGGTAGATTATCATGTAACCATCGCAGATAGTTGATTTAACAGACATGACGAAATGGTTCCGTAACGAGACATATATGTGTAGTATTTATTACTTTGATTCACATGGGTGAGGCTTAGTGAACTGGGCCAATAGACCCGTTGTCTTGGGTAATATTGCTACATGTAGGATGTGCTGTTAGGATATTTACGGTCACCATGTGCGTTAGTTTGATGATTTTCCCGTAGTGAGTTCATGAAGGATTATTATGCTAAACCCTGCAGGTGGATTAAATTCCGGCATAGTAATAATGTGATGAACGAGCGCTAGCTTTGGTGAAATAATAATAAATTAATTAATTCTTGATTGTCAGTAATCGAATTAATTAATGGACATTATATCTTAAACATGGGGAGATAAATCGAGTAATTATTATTGGAGTCTCAATTATAAATTGGGCTAGGAAAAGGGAGTGCAATAATATTATGTTGATGGCCCATTTAATATTATTTAATTAATTAAAATAAGTGGCTTGGTCCACAAGTATTTTAATTAATTAAGGAGCCCTAATCCTAATCTCCTAAGGATCCCTACTGTAGCTCTATATATACATCATTAAGCTCATGGGAAGAGGAGAGAATTCCACATCTTGGAAAGCACGCCCCACGCATCTCTTCTCTCTCTCAGTTCCCGTTCGAGCTTTATCTTCTTCTTGTTGTTCCACTGGTACAAGATTAAGAGGTTTGAGATATACAGTAGAAGACCTTTGGGTAAAGTGAGACGAACTATATTTGGTCGTACAGAACTAACCGGAGGTCCGACCAAGACGTGATCATACCAGACGACCGTCTCGACGAGAGCTTTCCAGCGCCGTCGAGATCGCAGCCGTCCGACCACCCACGTGCCTGCACGCGCTGCCGCAAGGTCCTAGGACTGCAACTTGTCTTCATCCGTTTTGCACTCGTTTGATCCAGTTTTTGATCCGATCTTGTTCGTGCAATCCTAGGACGCAATTTGCAGTCAACAATTCATTAGTGTGCTGTGTACGGCCATCCAGAAGATCACCCAGATCGCCATAAATTTTAAGCCGTAAGTTCTCTACGCAAACCTTTAGATCCGTTGCGCATAGGTTTACGTTTTGCTATTGAATTCATGATTTTTGCATAACGAGATCTTCATTGATCCCAACAGTTGAAAAGTATAAGTTTTGTTGCCGAGCATACCAGTGAGTTCTAGAGCCTGGTAAATGCTCTATCTTGTGTGGAGATGCCGCTTGGAGAAGAAATGCAATCTCTGCTACTTTTTAGTTCCCTTCCTAACAGCTGGGAAACACTCGTTGTTACACTCAGCAATTCTGCCTCAAACGACAAACTTTCCATGTCCGTTTTCAAGGATGCCTTATTCAATGAAGAGGCAAGAAGGAAAGATATGGGCATAAATCAGACTCATGCCCTTGTAATGGAGAATCGAGGAAGACCACAAGACAAGCAACAAAGAAGCTGTAGAAAGAAGAGCATGTGTAGAAGGAAGGGGAGGCAATCAGATGATCAAAGATCACATGTGTGCTATCTGTATGGTCTAGAAGGTCATATGAAGAAGAATTGCTATAAATGGCTCGAGGAGCAGTGCAAGAGCAATTTTCAGCTGAAGAATAGTTCTCAGCAGAAGAACAAGGGCAAGGGTGGTGAAACTTTCATCACTGTCTCAGGTGATGTAGCATATTGCTCTAACCATGGTGAGACATGCCTTCATGTCTCGAAAGAAGACATTGATGGGTGGTAGATACTGCAACATCCTATCACGTTACTCCCAACAGGAAATATTTCACAACATACCAAGCTGGAAACTTTGGATCGGTGAAGATGGAAAATTCCAGTTCCTATGAAATTGCCAGAATTGGTGATATCCAAGAAACGACAGGAACCGGGAGTACAATCCTGTTGAAGGATGTCAGACATGTGTCGGATCTTAGGTTGAATCTTTTGTTAGTGATGGCTCTTGACAAAGAAAGATATGAAAATCACTTTGGTGCAGGCACATGGAAGTTGTCAAAGGGTGTTCTGAAAATTGCCCGAGGACATGTTTGTGGGACTCTGTACAAAACACATTTTAAGATTAGTACAGAAAGTCTCAATGTTGCAGATGAGGTTTCCCAGGATCTTTGGCACCAGAGACTTGGCCATATGAGTGAGAAAGGGTTGACTACCCTAATAAAGAAGAATCTTATCAAGGTTGATAAGAATGCTGCATTGGGTTCTTGCAGTCATTTCCTGTTTAGCGAGCAGTATAGAGTCTCATTCAATGCCTATTCAACAAAGAGATCAAAGTTGTTATGCTTGGTACACTCTGATGTTTGCGGCCCCTTGGAGGTTGAATCACTGAGTGGAAGCAGATATTTTCTGACTTTCATTGATGATGCTTCTCGAAAGGTGTGAGTATATTTCCTGAATACGAAGGACTAGGTGTTTGAGTACTTCATGTTTTTTCATGTCATGGTGTAACGTGAAACAGGAAAGAAGCTGAAATGTCTCATATCTGATAATGGAGGCGAGTATACTTCCAAGGAGTTCAACGCATATTGCAGGACATATGGCATTCGACATGAAAAGTTAGTACCAAGTAACGGCGTTGCTGAAAGAATGAATCGGACTATCATGGAGCGTGTCCGAAGCATGATGAATATGGCTAAATTATCAAAGCCATTTTGGGGAGAAGCTGTCAAGACCGCGTGTTATCTAATCAATCGATCTCCTTCAGTCCCATTAAATTTAAAGTTCCGGAGAGACTATGGACTGGTAAGGATCCAACATACTCACATCTTAGAGTATTTGGTTGTGTAGCATATGCACATGTATCCAAAGAACTCAGAAAGAAGCTTGATGCGAGGTTTATCCCATGCATTTTCATTGGTTATGGAGATGAAGAGTGTGAATACAAATTTTGGGATCCAAAGGAGAAAAAGGTGATCAGAAGTGGGGACATTGTGTTCTAAGAAAATTTGACAATAGAAGATATCAAAAAGCCCAAGATGTCTCAAAAGTCAAATATGGGTGCTCAAGTTTCAGATGAAGCACCAGAACTGTTCCGGAGAAATAATAAAGATGATATACCAGAAGAAGAGAAGGAGATAGAAAAGAATGCAGAGCAAGGGGAGCAACAACTCATCTTGCCAGAGAAAGGGGAGAAACAACCCACCTTGCCAGAGCAAGGGGAGCCACAACCCATTTTTCCAGACACCAATGTCGGAAGTTCTTCTCAGATAGTTCTACCCACTCGTAGATCTGAAAGAGGTCATATACCATCAAAAAGATACTCATAATTCGAATACCTTCAATTGACAGAAGATAGAGAAGCAGAGAGTTTTCAAGAAACCATATTGTATAAGGATAAAGAAAAATGGATGATTGTGATCCAGGAACAGTTAAATTCTCTTCAGAAAAGTCAAACTTATGAGATTGTTAAACTTCTAGAAAAAAAAAAGCTTTGAAAAACAAATGGGTGTTCAAGCTGAAGAAAGATGCAAATGGACAAGTGCTGAAACACAAAGCTCGATTGGTTGCCAAAGGCTTTCAACAGAAGAAAGGGATTGATTTTGACGAGATCTTTGCACCAGTTGTCAAGATGACCTCAATCCGAGTCATACTTGGCTTGGCAGCAAGTATGAATTTGGAGCTTGAAAAGTTGGATGTGAAGACAACTTTTCTTCACGTAGATTTGAAAAAACAAATCTATATGCAACAGCCAGAAGGTTTTGAGGTTTCAAGTGAGAACCTCGTGTGTAAGCTATCTAAAAGATTGTATGGTCTGAAATAAGCACCAAGACAGTGGAATAAAAAGTTTGACTCATGCATGCAGAGTCAAGGTTACAAGAAGACTACTACAGATGAGTGTGTTTACATCAAGAGATACTCAAACGGGGCTTTCATAATTCTTCTATTGTACGTCGACGACATGTTGATCGTTGGGAATGATGCAGAGAAGATTAGTCAGCTGAAGAAAGAACTTTCCAAGTCTTTTGATATGAAAGATTTTGGAAAGGCTCAACAGATTCTTGGGATGCAGATTACTCGAGACCGAGAGAACAACAAGTTATGGCTATCTCAAGAGAAGTACATTTAACGAGGACTTGAAAGATTCAATATGAGTGATGCCAAACCAATTAGTATTTCCACTTGTGAATTATTTCAAGTTGAGCAAAAGATCATGTCCCACATCCAAAGAAGAGATGGGGGAGATGTCTGGAATGCCATACTCTTCAACAGTTGGAAGTCTGATATATGCAATGGTATGTACAAGGGCATATTGCTCATGCAGTGGGCGTAGTGAGTCATTTTTTTCTAACCCCGAGAAGGAGAATTGAGAGGCAGTCATATGAATTCTCAGATACTTGAAGGGTACTTCTAAGTTATGTCTTTGTTGCGGGGGAGCTGATCCAATCATGGAAGGATATACTTATGCTGATATGACCGGAGATATTGATTGTCGAAAGTTTACTTCAGGTTATGTCTACACTTTTGCAGGGGGGGCCATTTCTTGGAAATCAAGATTGCAGAAGTGTGTTGATTTACCCACAACATAAGCTGAATATTTGTTGTGGTAAAGAAATGTTATGGCTAAAACGTTATCTCCATGAACTTGGAATCAAGCAGAAAGAGTATAAGGTATATTGTGATTGTCAAAGTGCTATTGACTTAAGCAAGAACTCTATGTACCATGCCCGCACAAAGAATATTGATGTTTGGTATCATTGGATACGCTAGAAGATTGATCAACAGCTGTTGAAGCTAGTGAAGGTCGATACGAAGGAGAATCCATCAGATATGTTAACAAAAATAGTTACACTGGACAAGCTTAAGCTATGCAGAGGCATACTAGGAATGTTTGTTCAAAACTTGCATGGAAATAGGAGAATTGAAAGTTCTATGCAAGTTGTAGCATACAATGAAGAAGTCTTCACTGTCACATAAATGAAGAAATCTTCAATGGCTGCCTCCACCAAACCTTCTTCTTTCACACACCACTAGTGCAACACCAGTGTATTACACGGGTGCTTGTTAAAAAATTATTTCCTAATTTTAAAATTAAAATATTTTAAATTTTATTTTTATTATTACAAAAAATATATTATTATATATTTTAGAATGACCCTTGTTACTTGTGCGACTTCCATGTGTTATATTATTGTAATTTTTATAACTTAAATCATATAATTACTTGAAATACAAATATATTAATTGATAAATAATTTATTTTTCTAAAAAAATAATTTTATTATTGTTGTAAAGATAAATATATATTTTTTTTTGCACATACAATATGGATGTTAAATCAAAACACATCAAGAGATAATTAATTTGATATATTATATATGTAAAATTGATAAAAAAAATACAAAAGTTATTAACTTTTAAATACATTTACAATTCAATGGTTATAATAAGAAATGATATTAAAAATGCAATTAATACATGTAACATGACGATTAATGATTAACATATTTATCGATAATTCGGACCTAATTATTCTTGGATTGAAAGTAAATTAAAATCTACCCAAGCCTAATAACGAAACTTGCAATTTTGCCACATAGGATCCTGAACCATGCGAGCCTGACACTTAGGCTCAGCACGTTCTGAATTAATATATAGGGGGGATTTGTCAACAATGGTGGGCTTGCTTGTATCTATAAATAGGGTGCTCATTTCATTCATTCAAATCATCCAAGAGTGTGATCAATCAACCTTGAGAGTGTTGAAACACAACCAAGTAGAGTTGTGGATTGTTTGAGAGTTTTTTTTAGAGTTTATAAATCTCTTGCTTTTATTTTTTTGAGTAATAGAAACTTGTTTTTCTCTCAATTATGATTATGATCTTGTGATGATACCACAACATTACTATACACATATCATAGACCACAACCACTGACTTGATCATCTGGGGCTCTACGTCAGGTTGCCTTCTGTCTCTGATGCTTTTTTCGGTACTCAAACGAGAAGGTCAGACGAGATTCGAAGGTCAAAAAAGAACCGGTTACCTTTATTTTAATCAGGACTATTTGGTAGATTCTATCACCTATAATAATTGATATTTTATTTATTTAATAATATTTCACTCTTTATCATTGTAATTGTAACAACTATTAAAAATGTAAGGTACACTAGCCCTTGGATGCATATTTTGGTGACAAAATTTTATTTCGCTATCCAAGTGTAGGACGGTTGACTATCTAGAAGGATTTTTCGACCAACTTATGCTAGATGCGGATGCATCCATCCGTTATCCGTACTCTGAATAAAAGTGGGGCATGGCGTTTGTGTTGTGCAAACACCGGCATTTTATTGATGTTATAAATTAAAACTTACATTTTGTAAAATATTTATAAATAAAAATATTAACATTTCACGTGTTTTTATTATTAAAAAAATGTACGAGGAACTGACTAGTTTAATTAATCAGTTTCACATTTCATAGAAGAATTATTTTATATATCTTTGTTAAATTACAACTAAACACATTTATCAATAATAATAATAATAATAATAGAAAATGCTATAGTTCCGTTACAAAATTATTCCGTCGAAATTTGTAACCGTTAGATCATCATATAACCATCGAGGATAGTTGATCTAACAAATCCGACGAAATGGTTCCGTAACGGGATCGTAGAATACAATAATAAAACATTTTCCTTTCTCTATATTTAAGCCATTTTTCACCCGTTCCCCACCTCCTCTTGCTTTACAACAAGGATATAAATATCTCGAAAAAAAAAAAAAAATCTGAATAAAGAAGCCCTAGAAGAACCACCCCAGACTGCTCTCTGTAGTAAGTTCTCTCATCAATCTTCTGTTTTCTCTTGAATTGTTTGCCATTTTAATTTATCTCAATCCTTGTCAATACTCTCTAATCCAATGCATCAGTTATTCAAGAAGAGATTACTTCAAAGCCGCTCAAAAATCCCTACATTTTCCTCGTTCTGAATTGTTCAATTGTCGATTAATTACATCCATTATCGTGTATATCAATGCGAAAGGCGATTCATTTCGATACAAAGGTAATGTCTTCTGTGTGTTTTTGTCTGTAGGGTTTGGCCTAAGATAAATCCCTCAAATCGCCAGTATTATTACTCCATTGAAGTTTTCTCGAAGGTGTGTTTGCTACTTTGCTTTTTTTTGTTGTGTGCATAAGTGGTGGTGTTTACCT